TGATTACTTTCTAGCATCTTCACCAGCTGCATTTCTCCTGTTTCTTCAATGAATGAAAGCTCTCAAAGGGTAACGTGTTAGTTAAAGCTGCCTTCTAGGCACCCTCGCCTCCAAGTTAGCCTCCTATCTAACCCTTTGCCTTCTGAGGTCCAATGCTGAGCTTGCCTTCCTCCTTCACCTGACCAGGTTTCATGGCTTGACACCTCCAAAGAGAAGAAAAGTCAAAATGAAAAGTTCAGAGGCAGACAAATATAAGGCAGGGCATAGCAGCTAACCTGCGAAGGGGTTGTCACACTTATCTCAGGGACAAAATTGTCATCAAACAGACTGATGATGTTCTCCTGCTTGATCTCCTTGGAGGGGGTGACTTTTGGAGGCGGAGGCACCGGAGGCCCTTTCCTCAACTGCATGCAAGTGAGCACACGGCCACAGCACAGACGGCGACACCCAAAAAAACCAGAGACAGGAACCAGGTTAGCCACAAAAACTGAAGTTGGGGAAAATCACAACCACAGGCACAGAGCAGGGTCCAATCAACTCCATCTGAAGAGAGAGGTAGGGAGGGGCATGGGCTGAATTGAAACAAAATTAAAAAAAAAACCCACATGCCTCCACAGAAGGTTTGGCATCATTAGTTACACTTCAGCCGTGGGCAAGTTTCCCTCTGCAGAGGAGAAGCGTAACACAATTAATATGCATTGGCAGGACATGCATACATAATTAAAGCATGTGCAACCTTCAAAAGAACCACTGGGAAGGGAGCAGATCAATTACTGAGAACACGATTCAATAGACCAGGCCAGCACTGCCTCCCTTCACTATACTTACCATACCTAAGGGAATGAGAGATCAGACTCAATTTGTCCTATTATGGGTAGATGACCATGAGGACAGACTCTGATCTGGTTCCCTGATGCACTGGTTATCAGTGTACCATAAGAAAGGTCTGAAGGAGCGCTTGATGGTATCTTACCGCTTCTCAGCTTTAGGCAAGAACAATTCAAACTCCTGAGAAGACATGACTGCTGTGGGCCCAACTCTGCTCTCAGTTTCACCAATGAGCACTGACACTAATGAAATCGTGTTTCCCAAGTGGAGATCCCAGAGAATGCGTAACAAAGTCTGACCCTGTAACTCTAACCCATCCTAATACCCACCATGATGCTAAAAGACTCAGCCTGACCCTGCATCCAAAATCCCATGGGAAGCTGTGGTAGATGCTCCCTAGATAAACCCATCCATATTGTTTTCACATTTTCCTGTGCCCAAGGCTCAATGATCATTTCTAGATCAAATCAAACTTCAAGTAGCTGCTGCTGTGTTGGAACAAAGCAGCCATACAAGTTCCCAGTACCACAGCAATGCTCAGCAATGACAATGCTTTCCATTTGCAGTGATGTTTTACAGTGACTTGATCTTCTCATCGTACTTAGAATCCCAAGGCAGCAAGACTCAAGAGACCTGATAATGGGCACCCAGTGTATCAGTGTCAAGCCCAGATCTGAAACACAATCCCCAACTTCTAGTCCTTTGGTCACACTCCTCCAGCATATAACTGAGCTCTACAAGGCATTTATTCACATTACTAAGGATATGCCCAGTTTTCTACTGGGTTAACCTACTTCAGAGAGTGAAAACACACATTTTCCACTGAATAGCTGGCTAGGGGAAATAATGAAAGTAGCGTGTTCGCTTCCAACTTTTCACTGTTTGCAGAAGGTGGTGTGTCCACATTCCCCAAGAACAATCCCTTCCTGAAAATCCCCTGCTTGCCAGTTGCAGGAATGGACCAGAAATCTCAGGGAAAAGCTGTTCTCAGAACAGAGCCACCATCTGCAGAAATGGGAGGCTCCAATTACCAACTCTAAAGTCAAAAAGATCCCAACTGTTCTGCTACTTATTTCTCTAAAATAGTCTCCTTCCTTCCAATGCATTAGTGTCTTGGAGACCACCACTTCCACAGTGTCCAGCATTACCTTCAACAGCAGTCTAAAACCACATTTCAGAGACAACACGATTGTATATTGATGTTGGATTATATCTGGAAATTCATCAAGCATGAACTTTGCCACCTAGAATAAAACAAATCCTGGAAAATTTTTCTGCTGACTTGGATCCCACAGAGCTTTACCTGTGTAAATTCAACATAGTGGCACTGATTTCAAAAGCATCATTACAGTGTTTCAGTGGTGTAACTGAGAGCAGAAGTCTGACCTTTGAAATTTCACAGAATTAAAGGACAGTAAAAGAGCTATTTTTTTGGCATAGGGAACAGTTCAAAATTTAGTTAGTATTTATTTGGTGTCTCCTGTTTTGCTGTCTTTCTCTCCACAGCCTTTGCTTATGGTTTGCATTAGTATTTCAGACAGGAAGAGGCCAGAGAATTGTACTTGCTTTTTGCTCCATCCTCCCCCAGAGGATGAGGCCCCCAGCCTCCCTAGGAGGACCCTAGAACAAATCACTTACCCATAGGTCAAAAGTAATGACACCTGTGAAGATTTCATCTTCACAGCTTAAAGCACTGTTGAGAGAGTAGACACTTGTATTTTCCAGCTGGCTGGCAAGCTGATGCACGCTTAGCTTCTAGACTATCCATACAGACACCAGACTTGGCTCTAAGTATGAAACCCCTGCCCTTGTCTTCCCTCCCTCTGGAGCCAGCTCCATCTCTTAGCACCTAGTACAAATATGAAGCGGAGCTCTTGTTCTTCGCTGTAGTGAGGCCTGGGAGAATGAATTAAATACAGATTGGGAAAGAGCTGCCAGGTGGTGGCAGCATTAGCTGCAAATGCCATTTCAGTCTTGCCTGTGGCCCATCTGAGGTTCCAGCCAGGGCTGCACTGGAATATTCTGCTTGCTCGACAAGGGGTGCCTCCATCCCCATTCCTGTGGGCAGGAAGGCAGCAAGTGAATGAGAAAGCACTTGCAGGCTAGCAAAAACAAGACTTATGTGTGCTATTTAAAGGAAAGGGAAGAAGCTAAACTCAGCAAGACAAGTCCACAGGCAGGGTGGAGTGAAGTCTGCAGTGAACAGCTCAATAAATATCTGCACAATTTCTTGTTGCAAGTTTCAATCAAGTTGTGGCAATCTCAAAAAAAACCAGGAAGGCAATTCTGGATGCACTATCCTCTCTCCCCCATACATATGCCCTACTCCAACATCCTAGGCAGGGTGGTGGCAAAGCTGCTCTAGGCTGTGCAATGCTAAGTGGTGCAGAGACCCTGGAGAAGTACTGAAAAGATGTTGCCAAGCATCCACACATCTCACAGGGCTGGAAAAGACCCTTTTGCCAATGTACAAACAACCCCTTTTTGTCCCTAGATAATCCTGAAAATAAAAAATGCAGTGGAGGGAAAAATATTGTAAGAGGCTACCCAGAAACAGGAGACAGCCTACACCACAGGCCTGGATTTGGAATCACACTGCTACATATGACAACAGCAAGGAAGTTCTGGGTTGCACCCGTCTCTTTTCAGATGCAATAGGTTTTCTCTTACCAGTTTGGCCAGAACCCCCTTCAGCTTTAATTCTTCCTGGAAGACTCCTCCCTGGTGTCCCACTTACTGAAATGCAAGGATTGGCACCAGACATAAATTTAGCCTAGTTACTGCTTTTCCCCACTAGGCTTTTCCCTCATGCAGCAATAGAGGGGCCGGAAGAGGAAGTAAATGTTTTATTTTCCTTAAATCCCAAAGTAAAACATATCATATGATACGCTGAGTAGCAGGAGCTACAACTGCTATTTTAAACATGCTGCTGGGTATCTCCTATGTAAGGAAAGGACTAACAAAGGCCACGTGGAAGGTATCAGACACCATATCATGGACAGTCTTCTTCCTGGTACCCACCTAATTTCTTCATAGCATAAGAATATAATGCCTTCATTTTTAGCATAATATTTTATCTTAGGATTAAAATAAAACATCATGCAAAGTACAAATGTTCTCCTTTTCCTTATCTGTATTGAACTTTTTTCTTTGAACCTTCCTCAGTTACAGAAGTTCTTGAGAAGAAACTGGACCATTGAATTCCACAAATTAATTCAAATGTAAAGAACAAACTTCCTCGCCTAGCTACAACTCCATCCTCCCTGGATATTCTTGGCCATCCTACCGTACAGCAAAATGTATTACTGGCCTGTAGAGGCATTCAGAGACAGCTCAGTTCTTCCCTATGTGATAGAGACATGACCAATGAGCAACCTGCATTCCCAGGAACCTCTCAGGAACCTGCGAAGGAGAACAACCATCATGTCATATTCTCTGTGCTCAGTAGCAGGAAGAGGTCCAAAAAAGCAACTGATGGATGTCTTTGACTCACGGAGCTTGTGCCATCAGTGGTCATACTGCAGAGACATGGTCAATGTCACAGGGACACTACCTGAGACGGTGACTTTGGGATGCTTGACCCAGGTGCTTCCAAAGTGGACGGTTCCAGCTCATGGTTGACAGTCTTGGTCTCAGGGCTGGTGATGGGAGATCCATCTGGTGGAGGCGAGGGGCTTTTATTTGCTTTCGCTGGGGTGCTGTCACTGAAGGAAGCAGAGAGAAATGGAGGCAGGGGGGGAGAGAGAGAGGGAGAGAGAGAGAGAGAGAAGTCTGAGCCATGCCTAGGAGGAGTTGTGCTAACCAGCACAGATCAGTGGCCTCCATTATCTCTTTGCTTCACTGCCCAAACACATGATGAAGACATTTGAAGCCTCTACAAGCTTCTAAGAAGCATCTTTGGTGAGTCACTTGCAGTCCAACACACTGCAGCAGCATTACTGTGCAGCAGCCTACTCACTAAATTCCTACTGCATGGATATACTTTGCCTCAGACACAGGAAAACAAAACCAAAAAAACAACGAGGCATCCTTAATTCTGCTAGATTCTAACATTAGTGCCTGACATTAATTCACAGTCTTTTAATACTGGGAAAGCAGATGGGGGAAGGAGTTCTGTGAAGCTCATTTAGTTTTAAATTCTACAGATAAGAATTTTTCTGCATGGTGGTGTACTGACACCTGCATGGGTTATAACAAATAGATCTGCAACATCTGTAATTGCAGAATATCATATTCCTCTACATGGTACAAACTGGTTAAGCTGGAAGAGGGGCAAAGTAGCCAGAGGTTTCACAGATCATTCCAGACAGTAAGGAAACAGTGAGATTCTGGCTACTAATAAAGTTTTTTCTATTATGGAGAGTCTCCCCAGCCTTGTTTTCAATGATGAACCCCTTCTGCCCTTGCCTTTCCAGTTGGTCCTCATTCCAGGACAGTTTCTGACGCACAGTCAAGAGGGATTCTTCAGGGAATTAAGACGCAAGGAACATATGCCAATGGCATTTGTTGGTTCGTAACTTGTCCAGATTTGGACAGATTTTTTCAAAGGAATGGCAAGAGGCACACGCCTTTCCCTAAGGGCATGCCCTGGCCAAGTGTCAAATCTATGCTTCAAAGTGCAGAATCATAACAGATTTAGTAAAAAGTTGGTTACCAGAGGATTTCAACAGGGATAAAGGTAAAACAATTTTCCCAGCCTAGTTCTCAGGAACAGCTGAATCATCTTGGCTGAAATTCAGCTCCCCAAAAAGCAACTAATCAATTTATCTCAAGTCATGTAGAAGCACAGACACTGGTAGGGGATATTTTAGCAGAAGTGGTTACAGTTTGGCAAAACTATACACAGCTGAAAACAGAATATTACAGAATATTGCAAAAGGGCTGTGCAACCTCATCTACAGGGAGTGGTATTTGCCTCCACTTACAAAGTTGCAGTTCTTGCGAAGTTAAAGGCCTTGGGAGAAGGCTGAAAGGAACAGATCCTTTCCTACAACTTGAGGCAATAAATCCTGGCATAGAGCCAGGACTAGAGCAATGCAGACCTGATTCTGCAGGGACATCAAGTCAATTATTTCTTTGCTCTGTCTCAAGAGAGTCCAGAGCTCCAGACACATACATCCACTCACACTTGGATGCCCAAGGTGTGGTGGTCATTGGCTAACATGCATGATGGCCTCATTCCTAAACACTCATGAGTAGGGGGACAGCAAGAGGAGGAAGGGACAGCAAGGCATTTCAACAAACCTCCCCTTCCAAGCAAGCATCTCCCCCTGCTCAGCATTCCAGCTTTCAAGCTCCCCATCCCACTCCCTCTTCATTCACTTTGCCCTTACCCGTTCCCCCACTTTCTCCCCATATCCACACCCCACACAGCGCTTGTTCTCAAGTCCACATGCAGGTCAGATGTTTCTGATGACACTGATGCCAGCAGCACACCAACATGATGCAACAAACCCAATGACGTTCTCTGCCAGCAGCTCTCAAACAGGGGCACACAGGCCAAGGGAAAAAGAAGAAAAGGAAGAGGAAAAAGGGAAGAGAAGGGACTAAAGAACATGTACGCCAACCCCTGCAGCTTTTCAGTTTGACTGGATATGCCTACGGTGCCCTTCCTCAGAGGTGCCCAAAAATCACTTCAAAACAGTGGGTTGTGTGAAGGATTCTGCAAAATTGACAAGGTTGTGCTACAGATGAAAAGAAGTAATGGTTGGAGACTGAAGGTAAGGAAGTCCTGCTCTAAATAGGAATCACCAGGGAACAGCAGGAAATGACAGAAAATGTCCTCCAATGGCAGAGTTGGGGAAAAAAAAAGTACGTTACCTGCCCTAGAGTTGAAAGCACTTTGGAGAAGTTGGGGTACACAGTGTTCTACAGCTAGACTGCTAGGACTCCTCAAATGCCCAGCCTACACTGGGAATATTGGGACTACTGGCTATCAGCTGGCCTACCAACACAAGGGTAGGCTTCTAGGTCCCTTCTAGGGACCTGAAGAGGCCATTTCTCCCATTGAGAAAGGAGTTCAAGCTTATTTTCTAAAGGCCACGAAACAGCTTTCTAGTGCCTTATTTCCGGTGCCTGGCACTGACTTAATTTGGAGATATATGGGTAAAAGGCTCCCACTTGAAAGGCAGCCCAGTTTCTTCCCTTCATCTTACAAGGGCTGAGAGGGCCACACACTAAAGCCTTCATTAAGTCACTACTATTTACAGCTTGTTTGATGTGTTGGTTGATCCCCCTAGGAAAATGCCAGTGCTAATTTTGGCTGAGCCTTTTCCAGCCCCCCGAGCGACACCTTCATTCCTGCACTTGTCGCTTTGCACACATTTAGCCAGTGCAACCAGCGTCAAGCAAGCTTGTCACCAGGATCCTCTGTCCTTCACAGGTCCCAGGGGAGCACACGCTGCCCACACAGAGCAAAGTCCTGTCTCCAAACTGACTGCTTGCTCCAGGAAACACAGGGAAAAAAAAAAGCAAGAGTGTGGGGACTGTCCCCACTGACCAAACATGAGTACCACAGTAAAAGCAAGTCAAAACAACAAGGTCATTGTTCTCTCTTTTTCCTTCCCATGAGCAATTGGGAAGTAATGCCAAATCCAGGAATATCAGGCAGGGAGGGGAAGGTGGTATCAACTTTCTTCTGCAAATAGAGAGCTGGGAATAGGGTCTAAATGCAGTTACTGCACCTGAAGGGAAAGCCAAGATCCCCCGGCCTCTTTTAGTGCTGCTGAGCTCCCAGACCCCTCATGGGGCTGCCTCATCTGCTCTGGAAGAGCAGAGTAATATATGCAGATGGGGTTCCCATGTGCTTGTAAAAATCCTACGTTAGAGGATGAAACCTACTTTCCATTATGGTAAAAACAGACCAGTCACCTCCTGCCAAGTTCTCAAGTTAAAAAGAAAAAAAAAGGTTGGCATCTCAGCTAAGGCTGAGATAGGACTTTTTAGCCAAAAGTAATTTATTTTTTAGCACCAAAGCAGGCTGGAGAATTATTTAAAAAAAAAAAAAAAAAAAAAAAAAAAAAAAAAAAAGAGGAGGCAAGAGAAAGTAGGAAAAAGCACCTACATACCCAAACATGCAGTGGCACAAATGTACATTCTTGCTGCAGATCAAAGAGTGACCAAGTCCCAGACCCTCCTTCCCTGCACCAGGGGTTGCACATTTCTCTGTGACCCCAGCAGCTGCTCTGCCAGCAGAAACCCCTAGCACAGCCCAGGTCAGGCACCTTAACTGCTGGACCAGTTGGACTTTATTGGGCGGAGCAGGAGAACATCGTGGCTAGAGCTCGTTGAGATGAGATTTACTAGCCCTCCCTCTGCTGTAGCACCCATCCATTCTCAGTGACTGGAAATATCAGACCTCCTGTCTGGCACAGGTGCAACACTGGTCCAGCCAAGGACCAGAGACAGACATCCAGAGAAGTACTCCTGTAAATCCTCCTTTTTCCTACAGTAGAAAACCTCAGAACAGTAACAACACAAGACATTCCTTCACTACTTTTTATTTGAGGATATGAAGTCAAGATTTTGCCCATCAGCTTCCCTGTGAAATTACCATTCTCCAGCCTCCAGACTCCCACTTCACAAAGGATGCAAAACAGAGACAAAGAGAAGGGTTATGTGACTTGCCCTAGTCAGTAAGAAGCCAGGATCAGAAAAGCAAGGATCCAAATCCACCAGCACTCGCTTTTATTGCTGGCAGGACATCATCTTGAAATTTTTTTTTCTTCTTCCTCTAAGAACGCCATGGAGGGAGTACAACACAAAGACTAAGAAAAACAAAAATTAGAGGAAGCTTCCACACCGCTCCCACTTGCAGGAATTCCCGCTTTGCTCCAGAGCATGTTCTTGTCAGAGTCCTTGACCTATGGTAACTCTAGGCATTGTAGCAATCCAGTTATTCAATGCCATCAATGTCTTGAAAGGCAAGATGCTGACATTAGTCTTTATAGAAGACAACAGGCTTCCTTTTCCTTCAGCCCTGCACAAAATATTAAATGGATGGAGCAAGGTAGCAAGAATCCTCAAGAACAGAGCAAGTAAGAAGCAAAGCCGGAAGTGTCCTTCTCCCACCTCATCATCCTCCCAACTGCAACACGTAGACAGGAGAGGACTTCTGAGTGTGAAAGGCCTGCCTCATGGTCCTCCCTGGCCAGGCAGGGAATAAGAATGGAGCATTTCAGACCTGTTCAAAAGGGCAAGCCCCACTAGGTAAAACTAGAAGTTGTTAATCCCAAAATTGCTCATATTTCCCATGGAAAACACAGCACTGTGCTTTTAGTCACACAAGAACAACTGAACGGACAATGCCTGAGCTTTCAACACTGCCTTCTTAGATAGGAGAAGAAGCAAGGATTCAGACCAGGCACACAAGCAGTTAATGGGATTATCCAGACACAGAGAGATCTCAGCAGGACCCAGCAGGCCATGAACATATCATATCATGCAAAGGACCCCTCTCCCATCACAGGGTTAACACGTGCCAGGCTGTTAGAGTCCAGCAACAGCCTCTCCAGTTTTAGGAACTAAATCAAACACATATCGAAATGCTGCTCTCCGTACCGGTACCTGCTCATCTTTTTCCTCAGCCTGGCGAACAGTTTAGTTTTCTTTCTGTTGAGGATGGCACGCAAATCATTTCCGTTACAGGATGGCACAGTCAAACCATGGAGGAAAAGTTAAGCTTCCAAGCACCCATTCACTTGGTGCCACAGAACTCATTGTAATCAAGATGACAAGATCTCCTCTGTCCCTCTGCCTCTCTCTCACACACACACAGATACACAAACACACACTGAGAAACACATACATGCTACCCTTGGTTCCTAGAAAGCTATGGCCTGGTTTGGAGAGGGTAGGAGAGTGCTTATTGTGTCTGTCAAACACCTACATATATGTGAGCAAAGTAGTGTTTTCCCTGCTTTTTGGAATATGAGGCCAGGGTGCACATGGAGAAGAAAAAGGAAACTGTATAGACCTGCAGAGGACTGTAAATGTCCTTTTTTCACAGGTAATCACAGCTCCTCACTCTCCCCTATAAATACTGGTACACAAGAAACAAGCTCCCCATTCTCCTTTACTTATGCGATCTGTGCGTAGTCTTGTATGTGGAACCTAATCAGCAGCTTTCCTACTATGTCTTTTTCAAGTTTGTCCAATTGTACTAGGGTAATGCTATGGATCTCCTAGGTCTTCGAGGCATCTGAGCCCTGAATGTTCAAACTCCTTCAGAAACAAATCCCAAACGTATGTCTGAGATTCCCAGAAAAGTCTGAGGCTGCTACACAGCCAGCATCAGATTCATCAGCCACAGTAAAATCTCTGCAGGGCTTTGCATGAATGCCATAATGACATGCACAGATAATTGCCTCTCTTCTCACACCTCCTCATTCGTTTCCTGCCATTGTATCCATGTCCAATCCCCTTCCCAGTAGAGAAGGGTTAGGGAAGCATCTGCTCCTACTGCAGACCACAATAAGCAATCAGATCAGTGAGGGCTACTTCCTCCTGCACACTCTCGCTCCAGCCCTGCACCACAATGAGAGGCCAGATGTCCAGGAGAGACAGAAGTGCCTCACAGTACTTCCTGGTCACTGGAAAACATATTTACTGCCCTAGCACACCTTTGCTGCATCTCCTACCCTGTTCCACTGTGCTCAGGAGGAAGAGTAGCCCTGGGGCAGGTCTGGCATCTCAGCTGAGATGCAGGGAGTAAGCGATGAAGCAGCAGCACTCAGCTTGCTACCTGCACAGGAACCTCTGTGTGTGCACTCATTTTCATTTCTTAGGGCCATGTGGTCTCGCAGCCAGCCAAAGAGCACAGAACTGCAGCTGGGACACCCATTACAGCCCCAGATGAAGCTAGCTGGCTGTGGGGGCAGGAATTGTGAGGACAGGTAATTTATTCATTGGAAGCTCTTTCAGGCCAGAAACTTCATGCCACAACAACAACAAACATGTCTGGGCCAGGCTGTCACTACAGCATGCAATCACTTCCTTGAGGAAGAAATGAAGGAGGAGGAAGGAGCTGCACAAAGCAGTGGCTACAGCCTTCATCTGCCCTGTTACTTCATCCTCTTCCAAGGACCCTGGAGGATGCTGCTATCAGAGACAGCACATGGCAGCAAGAGGATGGGCACCACAGCCTCCTTACAAGGCTTCAGTCTTGTTGGGTTGTGATGATCAACAGACACCACATGCTAACTTGGGAAAAAGATATTATTTTCACAAGAAGCATTCCTACTAGCATCTTGGAAATCTGGTCTCAGCAATCCAAAATTCAGGGGCCAAATTCAACTCAAACGTCCTCTTTCTTTAGAGCTGGCAAACACCACACACACTGCTGGAACAATACATACAAGTCCTCTATGCGCAACTGCAACAGGGGTTAAACTGGGAGGAGAGACAAGGGAGCACAGAGGTCTCAACAGCTGATCTAGCCCTTCCGAATCAATGCACTCAGACCGCAGCCTGCCCTTACTTCATGCTGACTTCACCTCCTCCCTCCGTCAATGCACCAGTTGAGGACTAGGGCCGTGCTCCTGCTCACCCAGCACGTGGGATTAGCAGCAGCTGGAAGCCAGAGCCCAACACTGTTTCATCACTCACACATTTGGATGGGAGCCAGACAGCCTCATCCAGAGCCCGACCTCTCCCTCCCCTCTCAGTGCTAGAGAATGTGCAGACTTGCACTTAACCATACAGGACTGGACCTAGCTGAGGAAAGAAAACTAAAGGCCCAGAGGACACTCATTGCTTGCACATGTGCAGATTAGAAGTGCTCTGAGATCAGGAGGCCTCATATTAGTGAGGCTGCAACTACTTCCACAACACACACAGAGGAAACACACCTCAGCTGGGTACACAGGAGGGGCGTAAGCCTTTGGCAAACAGGTGGTCCCAAGTTTGGAGGGCCAAAGAGGAGGCTGTGGAAACAATTGGGCTCTTGGTGCTTAAGCTCACAAGCTGCAGGTACATGGTGGAAGTTTTTGAGGGAAAGAACAGGACAGGCGCTGGGCAACTGGACCCAAAAGGAAGGGCAGCTCAGTATTACATGTCAGTGCATGGAATTTAATTTTTAAAAAGCAGAGCTGAGAGTCTGTTGCCCAAATACTAGCACATAGTGAAAGTTTAGGCTTCCAGATGCTATTCTAGAAAGGTAAAAAGGCATTGATTGCATTGTGTCACCCAGCCCCAAGTGCAATCTTGGACATGCTCTAGGTAGTCTTAGAAGGGCACTGGCTGGCTATATGCAGGTAGTCAAATCACTCCCCAACTGACAATATGGAGGTTTCAATACCCCTGGTAGAGACATCTCTGTCTCTCCTCCCCTGCTGAGGGAAAGACTACTCCCACAGTTACTGACCTGGGCTGTGCTTTAATGGGGAAGGCATTGGCCGAGTACTGCTTGTCTAGACCCAGCAGGACATCATGGAGGTTTTGGTTCAACTGCAAAATACAAAAGCAAAAGAAAGAAAAAGAATGAGAAAAGAGCCCAAATGCCAGAAGAGAGTCTGGGCTGGCCTGCACAGGCTGACCAAACACAGGCTTGTGCCCAGACATGTGCACATACTCAGCTATCCCAAGAGAGGACAGCCCTACATCTGCTTCCACTCCCTCCATGGGGTATGAAATGCTAGAGCACTCAAACTGTTGAAGAGCTGCTGGCACCTCATGGGAATGTTCTGTCTCCCTTACACATCATCCTCCTTGCTCCTCTATCACCCATCCCCACCACTGTGCTGCCAGGTACCATTGCAGAAACACGCAGAGTGTTCACCTAAGGGTCTATGTGCTAGAAATGAAGTTTCACTCTATTTATAGCCAAAGCTGTTCCTCAGACCTGCTTATAAAGCTTGGGATATGGCCATTTCAACTGTGGAGTCCAAAAGGCAGCTGGACTTCCAGCCAACAACAAGCCTTGACTTCACAGGCTGCCTGGGCTATCTAGGTTTGGGCAGGACCTGGATATCTTTGCAGAAATGCAATACGAGGGGTTAAACTCTCCCTGGCACTGAAGGCTTCAATATTCACTCCAGACACTCCTATTCTGAAACAGCCAATTCATAAACAAGATGAGATGCCAGATTTATCATTGGTAGGAGGAGGGATCCAATGCAATCAATGTTGGAGGCATCGTGCCGGCAACACCAGCAGTTAATTGGATGCTACAGCAGTAATAAGAAACAGATGGTTCTTATGGAACAAAGCAAAAGCCCTGCTCTCATACAAAACTCATCAGGAAAGGAAAATCCAAGACATGATACAAGAAGAGAATTTCTGTCTAAGCATCTTTCCCATGTTTTGCTGAATGTAAGTTAACAGCAACAAACTGATAATTATAACAATCCTCCCTATTCTTAATAATCAGTTCATCCCTCAGTGGAGAAGAGCAGGCTATTAATTGGAAAGGTCCCCATGAAATGTCAGCAGGGCTCAAAATTGATGCCTTACACCAAGGCAGAGGGCCCCTGACTGCTGGGAATTGAAGGACTATAACATTGCTTGTTGCTTAGCGGCTGTCTTGTTGTCAGGATGACACTGGGGAGGGGAGGGGAGGGAATACAAGTTTTCCAGCTGGGCTCTCAGTCACTCATCAAGATTAGTGCAACATTTACAGAGGGCGTGCAACTCTTAGGAGCAGCATACAGACCTAAGGAATTCAAGACTTCTCTAGCTTTCACTTAAAAGAACAAGAACACATTTGTAAATAAAAATGGCAATGGGGGGCTTTCCCATAGACTGTTCCTGAGGTCTCTGCTGGGTGCTGGCATGCAGCACCAGAATCCAGCCTGCCACCACCAGGTTACAACACTGCTTACTGCTGTGATTCCCAACTCATGGCCAACTGGTAGCCCATGCAAGGGCCATGCTGAGCACTCAAATGCTTTCTTTTGGATCACAGTGCAGGAAAGAAGCCAAAGCAGAGAGGTACTACTGGGAAGTACCTTCCTGAGGGACCAGAGTGAGGCAGGTCTCAGTCTTCAGCTGACTTGCAGATTGGCAGATTCCCTGCTGTTTTCATCCCCACAGCAAGACAGATGAGGGTTCACAGCAAATTGCTGCCAGGCAGCAGAGGAGGAGACAAATAGATACCAGGCTGAGAGTGCCCAGGTTATAGTTTACAGATCCATAACGTAGATGAGCTAAAAAAGGGCAGCAAGAGATAGGCCTGAATGTGGCTTCCCTTCCCTCTGTGGATCTGCAAATGAGCCTTGCCAAGTGACACAAACTTCCCACTGTCGCATGGCCCTGTGGTCTCTTCCCTGTGCACCATCCCTTTACAGTACTATCTCAGACAGCCCTTCTCCCAGGTGGCTCAGGAGAAACTGAGGGTTAACACCTTCCTCTGACATAGGGCAAATGCTCCGTTTCTCCAGCTGGTTATTTGCAGGTGATTTTTTTATTATTATTATTATTAACAATGAGAAAAGGATGTATTAATAGGATAAGCTCTTAGTTGGCTTACCTTGCTCATTTCTTTATGAAAGTTCTCTTCTAGGCCTGCTATACTCTGGAATGTGTTGACGTAGAAACCAACACGACTGCCAAATGAAAAATGAGACAGAAGAACTTAATGGACACAATACTCTCCCAAAAAATTTCAATTCTGCCCCTTCTGCTACCTCCCACCCACCACTCCCATTCAAACTGAACTCTGTCAGGTCTGATACATGCTAGAAGAGAAGGGCAGCACAGAAGCGTGAAGGGGATGATGGAGCAAAGGCCAGGTATGGGGCAAACACATCAAAGGTGAGGAGGAGGCCAGGCGGGATAGCCAGCACAAATTCAGATCCTAAGGGGAGAGGAAGGCGTGGGGGTGGGGGGGAGAAAGAAAGAAAAAAAGGAAATAAGGAAAAAAGAAAAAAAAAGAAAAAAAAAAAAGAAGAGAGCGAGCCAGTGGTAGCGTGATGGAAAGGAAAAGGATAGAGGCCGTGATGCAGATGCAGTGTGGGGAGAGCTGGGGGAATTGGCAGGAGGACAGATATTAATTCACTCTGAAGTCCCTCAGCACCAAGGGAAGCAAAAAAGCATGAACTGTTTGCTTCAGGGCCAGAAGAAGTAAGAAAGCACAGGATAGGCACAGAGAGCAACAGGAAAGCAGAAGGATCATCTGGATAGTGGGAGCTTGTGAACAACCTGTGGCACCTTAAAATCCCAGCAGCTGCCTGCTGCCCTCCTTCCTCTAGCCAGCCTGCCAGCTGCCAACAGAGAGTGCTGTACCAGCACCTGCTGTTGCTCCTCCAGCTGCGAGGGAGATGCTCTCGAAGGCCAGTGGCACCACTGTTCTGCACATGGAACCACCCAGATGCCTGTATCCCTCCCAGCTCCTTCCTCAGCCAGGCCTGCACACTGCTTTGAGCAAAGAGTCCTGACCCAGGCTGGGAGGAAAGGGGAGTGAAGGCAGACATCAGCACTTTGCTTTCCCGCCTTGCTGCCGCCCACT